GCCCACCCCAGCGCCGCTGGCAGCCGGACTGGATCAGTCTCGAGTGCACACCAGCGCCTCTGGCAGCCTGACGGGATCAGTCTCGTCTTTGCCTCCCCAACGCATACCAAAGAACTCACGCAAGATTGCCGGCTGCAGGTGAACACTGCCCAGCTCCAGGCGAGCGCAGAGGCAACGACCCCGCGGGCACTCACCCGACAGGCCAAGACACTGAGCGTCCTCTCGTGGATGTTCATGATGGGATAGTTCTTCCCCTTGTAGCGGTTGACTTCCTAAGGCAAAGCACCAGGCACAATGAGAGGAGAGACAAAGCGACCCCCTCTCCCTCTCCCAGGATGAAAATCCCGCGTTGGCCATCCCAGGGCACAGCCTGCTTGTTTCAGAACAGGAACCAGCTGCTCTGGCTTTGGACAGCATCACGCACAGACCTGATCAAAGTGCAGCCCAACGATGATGTAGGGCTTCTCTGCCAGCCGGTGAACCTTCTCCAGGAAATCCACATGCCCAATATCTGCAGACCTCTTTAAGGAACTGAAGCTAACGTGGGAAACAGGGAAAGGAAGACAGGAACAGATGCACCAAAAATCCCCAGCGGGAGACAGGAATCCCCAGAGTTTCATTTTTGCAGTGCTTGTTGCCCATGTCCTAAGAACAGCTGCCTCCTTCCTCCTCAGGCTCCACAGGCTCTGGGCAAGAGCCAGACAGCTTTTCAGCTCTACCTTACACGGACTCAACTTTGCCTCTGTCCAGAATTTCCGCCTGTTTCGGGTGTTCTGGCACAATGCCTCAAAGACTGTCCCGGGGGTGAGGTGTCTGCTCCAGACGCCCTGTGCAGTCACTCGGTCTGTGACAGCCCATCCTCCAGAGGGACCAGAGCGTGATCACTGGAGTGGAGAGGATCTCACTGTCTTCCCAAAATCCTCCCTCAGCCACAAACCTCTCCACAGAGGAGCTCTAGCTCCTTTCTCAGTGTCCTGTGACTAAGAAACTGCCACTAGGAACTCCTGCCTCCTCCCTCACATGCACACCTACAGAAAACAAAAAAAAAAAAAAAAAAAAAAAAAAAAAAAAAAAAGAGAAAAAAAAAAAAAAAAAGGTGGAAAAAGAAAAAAATGAGAGTTCAAATATCCTATTCTGGTGCCTCAAAACATGAAACATAAAATGAAAAGACCAGGGCCACTTTCTTGACAAAACAGTCAAGGATACGGAACAGGTCGAAGGCTCCGGCCACGTAGATGATGGTGTCTCCTGGCTCTGGCTCCTTCCCCGACGCAAACTGGATGATCTTCTGAGAGGTCTGCAGGAACTGCGAGACGCCAGTCCAAGGGCTGTGCCCCTTTGGCCCCTGGGAAGACACACACCACACACGGTTCCTCCTCAGCTCCAGGAGGGGGTTTGGACAACACAGAGAATGCGGCCGCAGGCAGCCTGCCAGCAAGAGTCGCAGCGCTCAGCTGCTCGGACCTTCCACATTCCTGGCACCACGCGTTTACGCAGCGTCACAAAAGCCCTCTTTGCTCTGTCAAACACAACCGTCCCCTCCACAGCCAGCTACGGAGATGCTGAGCAGGAAGCTCGGGAGGGACGAAGGCGAAGGGCAGGGCAGCCTCGGATGCCCAGGAGAGGCGAGGGGCCAAGGGAGACAACACCCCACCTCCCCACGCCCCTCTCCAGCCCTCCGGCAGCCGCCCCCGGTGGGGGGGTCGCCCCCACGCCCGCAA